AGTGGGCTACACTATAGAGGAGGCCCGGGAAGCGGGCATGGAGACCCAACAACGTCTATCACATCAGCGAGGCTTGGGGCGTGGTATTAGGGGCTGTTAGGAGCCACGCATAGCCCATAAGGCTAAGGTGCCTGAGGAGCACCCATTATACCGGGAGACCCCCAGGGGGTCCGAGAACCGCGGGGACAGATGTCCCGAGTAGCCGTGCCCAGGGAGTCATAGGCAGCCTCCCAACTATATATATATATTCCAACAAGACGTGGCGGGCGAGAATTAGAGGGTGCCTTGGGCCGGCCTGACACGGAGCGAGGGACCTTAAGGAGCACACGGCCCTCCGCGAGGACCCCGCCATGACAATCTCCTCCCCTGTCTTCAGGCTCCCCCCCACCCCCACAAGTCTACACCACTGCAGCTACAAGCAACACACCTTAGTGGGAAATATACCTCTGATGGCATCCTCTAGACTAAGATTGAGCTTGCTGTTAGGCTACAGACATACCTTGGCCTCAGCTCTACTTCTCCTTAGACACTAAATTACTTTGCTCCCTGTTAGGATGGCCTGCATGAAGTTCCCAGCCCATGGTCTTTCGACTGTGTCAGAGAAAATCAGATTAAAACAAAATTAAAATAAAGCTTTTGCATAAGGTGCCTCAAGTGAATACTTTACAAACTTTAATGAAAGCAATTCCCTTTGTTTTTTTCCTTTCCTGACCACCATATGCAGTTCTTGGAAACATTAAATAACCCACTGCCTATTAGATGGCTACTTTGCTGGGAAGACAGGGTGGGAGTATAGTACTGTACCTTTACAAACTCTCCTTTCCAACAATCTTTTCCTTGTCTGCCTATATCCTTAGACCAACATGACTACAACCTGTACCCTTTTCCAACAAAGGATTTTTGTGTTTTCATGAGGTATGCAGTATTACTCAATAATTCACTCTGTAGAATAGGGCATCACCAGCATGGAGAAGACATTTTTAGCTGACAATAGCAACGTCAAGATTGTCAGTGTCCTTTCAAAATTTTAATAAATTGGTTGTTAAAAGGGACCAGAATGTTTGTTTAAAATGAGAAATATTAGCAAAACAGTTCCACAAATCTTAGATTCATTTTAATACAGCTGTTCCATACCATACAAATCTTCAGAATTCAACACTGATCATCATCATTCCAGAAAATGGTGAAAACTCCACACTTTCAGGAGTATTTTCAGAAACAGTACAGATTTCTCTATTGGATGTAGCATTTCTAGGAGTGTCTCATCCCAATGGTATGCTGCCAGTACTTTTACAAAGCCTCCTAATTTTTTTCCTTCAGGTCTCCAAACCTTAATCTCCAGACAGCATAAATTGCTGAGAGATGCAACAAGAGAATAAATTATCTGACCATTTGTTTTTTTCTCTCTATATAGCCATAAGCAAGGAAAAACATAGTATCAATAGAGAAACAGACTCTCTGAGCTATATATATGTATGCTTTACTCCAAAGGGTACACAGACCCAGTAATAATGCAGCAGAGTGATAAATGTGTATCATTTAACAATTTATAAGGAAAGGAAAAGACTTTTGGAGAGAAACCACAGATCTCCTCCAGGAATTTTTTTAAAAGTATCTGACATACCTCATATCTGTTTCATTCCAAAGGGAAAGTCATATGATCTCAGAAGTACCTCTATAACTCTCCAAACATGATTGTTTCTACTGTACATCCATAAAAGGAACTACAAAGCATGCAAAGAACTACAGAGAATAAAAAGACAACATGAGTTGTAAATTCACTATGGTATCTTAAAGCAAAGCTGCCAAGGGGCTAGATGAAGTCACCGTTCTCCTAAATTTAAAAAAAAAAAGCATAATACAGGGAAGATCACAATGTAGGGAGATACAATGAAAATGAGAAGAACTACTCTGAGGAGGAAGAAGAAAGCTGTGGAGGGGCATAGATCAGATGACAATAATCAAATAAAAGACTGAAAAAGAAGGGGAAATGGACAAGATTGAAGGTATAAGCAAAAAGACAGATGAAGAAATTGTGGAAAAGGAAAAGCTGTGGGTAAAGAGTCAGATACAGAGACATAAAGAATTACATAAAGAACACAAATGTGTAGATGATGTTTCGAAGTAGGTCTCTAGACCAAGAAAGACCTGATGAAAGGTGTAGGAGCAAGCACCATTGTGGTAAAGTGGCTCAACAAAACTCCTGATAGCTTCCATTCAGAACCCATTTCAGTAATCCTGATTCAAAATGAAGGGGATTTTGCCCCTCACCTTAGAGAGGGGTGGACATCATGAGATTCAGAGAATTGAAATGTTGGCAAAATATGATTGTTGAAAAATATCTTGCCTCATTTGGGGATCGATATTATACTCATTCAGAAAACCCCTGTGATTCGTGTTGGATACAAAGGGGCAGGCAGATGGGCATATTTTCCCTTGAAAGTTTGGAGGCTGAGTCTCCAAATGCCTAAGTACTGGGTGGAATTGGGAATTGGTGGGGTGAAATTCAGGTTGCAGAACTCCTAGTCAAAATAGCAGCAGATTAGTCCTCCATGTTCTCCCCCTCCTATAGTAGGAGGGAGAAGGGAAATTGCAAGCCGTGCTCCCCTGGTGGCTTTGTTAGGGGTGATACATGTTGGGGTATAACAGGGAACCCTAGCCCTGTTACCAAGAAACAGGGGGGGGTCCCTTTAAATCCAGAACCTTCCGGGCACGGCTGGCTGGTTGAGTCAGTGTTAAGGATTGAGCCCTTCCAGCTGGTCAGGTGACAGGAAGGGGAAGGCCAGGGAGGCAGCAGAGAGGGGGACTCTTGGTGACTATGGTGCAGCTGTAGCAGCCTCTTTGGGAAGAATATGCCATGCTGTGAGACATAAGCACAGTCACATAAAGAAAGCAGGCACTTTGCTTCTCTTATTTCTTTATTATTATTTTCATTATATGGCCATAGGAGCCTATGGTTTATGCTTGATGTTAAAAAGGCTGGTGGTTTGTGGATGAGGCTGTAGGGGTGGAGCAGGCCTCATTAGCACCAAGGGGTGCCATGATGGAGGGCTCAAGAAGCCCTGCTGTACTAGGGGTGCCGCACTAGGGCCGCGAGCCCAAAGTGGCTTGAAAGGGAGATAGGAGCCTTGAAGCCAGGTCCTAGCAGGTAGGCTTAGGCGAAAGGCCCTAACTACAGAAAGAGGGGCAAAGCCGATGGGACTAAGGCCCCAACAGTCTGGCACCACAAGGGCACACAGTGTAGAAGGGCCAGTAGGTCTGGTGTCACGGAGTGCATGTAACGGAGGGCCTTGAGCCTGAGTGAGTTAGAGAGCTAAAGCCTTGGAGTAAAGCCACGATTAGTGGGTTTTGACTGAAAGGCCTAGCTAGAGAGAGAGGGGGTAAGCCCACAGTGACTGAGACCCCAACATAAAGAGAAATTTAAAAAACCATTTGTGAGACATGGGGCACATCAAGGGGAGGTAGGAGCATGCATTTTGCCCTTAAGGCAACACCTTATTATCCTATGGGTGGTAAGCCTGGAGCCTGTCTGGGAACCTGTGGGTCAGCCTCCCTCTTTCTTTAGAACCAAGTAACATCAAGTCATGGCAGGAGACTAAAGGGGGGAGAAGCTGATCCACAGAGAAGAAAAATCCAGTAAGACTTGACAGGGGCACACTTACCAGCATGTATATTTTTTTTTAATGCAGCCGAAGATGGCCCCCTACCACAGGGGGAAAGGAACTGGAATTACAGCAACAAATGAGGGCTCAGTGCCAGCCTTAGAAAAGGCTGAAAAGTTTAGGAAGCAGGGCCAGTCTTTGAATTTTTATGCTGTCCTGAGAAACAGTACTTTATCATTCCCACTCCCAAACAATAAGATTTATGCCCACCATTCGGATGCCACTACATGTAGAACTGCCCTGACAATTCAGGAAAAGGGAACTTAGTCAAATGATTTTAGAGGATCCAACTCTAACTTTGACTTATTTTCCATTGAAAGTGTATGAACATGTATGAGGAATACCAAGCTTCCTAGTAAGGACTAGATTTTAAAATGAATACTTCCCGTGGAAAAGAACCGAACTTGTTTTTAAAATGTAAACTATTCTAATCCCCTAAAGGCAGGCTCTGGTGACAAAGTGTGGGCTCATACATGTGATCTCTAGCACATAGTTTCATCATGATACATAGATCATACATGTGATCTCATAGCACATAGTTTCTATTCCCCAATATTTCCCCCAATCCTGTATTTGGTGGTATCCACAGGCATATGACTATCTGATTTATTCAAATCCCAGCTCATGTTTAGTGCTTTCAAATAGACTATAATTTCCCTTTTCTAATGATAAATGAAAAGAACTAGGTCAATGATGAGAGTGCAATTAAAATTTGAGGAAGATCTTATTTATGTTGCTAAACTCATCTAAAAAACTTTGAAATAATTAAGAGAATTCTGCCTTCAGTATAATGATGCCTCAGTAGTCAATATCCCCTCATCTCCTATAACTGAATTCATGCTGTAGCCAATAGATAGAAAGTAGGTTATGCCTTTTTATGTGAATATCTATTAAGCCCTCCATTTTTTTCTTAATTAAGATTTTCACTTACATTTCAAAGCTTACAATAAAGTATCTGGTAGTTAATTAGATTACACATGTTATTTTAAAGTTGAGACAAAGATTTAATTTCATGTTGATAACCTTACAAACAAGCTGCCCTCTTTTGACAAAAAGGTTTTTTTCTATTTTTATTTTTTTCTATGCTCTTGTTATAGCATACAGTGAATTAGCAGCATGTAGCAAAGGGCTTCAGAATCACTCAAGAAGTGTATTATCTGATTGTAGACATTATGGTCTTAGAGCTTAGAGCTGGAAGAGACTGATATTAGGTCACTGAATCCATTCTGCAGCAAGTCTTATCTGATCTACTATAAGATATTAAACTGTTACTGCATTTTATCTTAGCTGTATACTGTCTGATGTATTTTATAAGAGGGAACTGTCACATTTTGAAAAACTCAACCTGTTCACAGTTTCCACTACTTGCTGTAAAAGTAGTATTTTCTGATATTTAGAATAAAGGAAGCTACTAGTACAGTGACTGCAGGGTGTGAAATGTTTGTTTCTTAATGGAGCTCATTATATACATTTTAACAGTTCCCATTGGCAGCTATAAAATGTGTGACAAGTATGAATCAGAAATGTGAAAAAATGGAACATAATACTACCTGAATTTCTTATGAAGGGCAGACACACCAAAATGGTATTTCATTTGTTTGTTAATAGTAGTAAATCACAAACTTTTATGCAGGCCATGCATTGGCTCCAAATATTTTTGCACACTTTTGTACAACACAGGGTGCCATCTGTCATGGATATTGCAAAAGCAAGTCTAAGTTGGCATTTGTAGACAAGATACAACTAGAAATATAAATAAAACATTATTTGCTTACCTCCTTCGAGCTTAGTGCTTCATTTTCTGGAATAGGCACTATAGGATGACTGGGCTACAGTGTAGAGACAAGAAGGACATTGAAGCAAGAGTGTACATGGAAAAGAAATATTCAGGTGTGAATTACATTTCTGAAGGCAAAGAGAGGGTAAAAAATGACTAACAACTAAGGAGAACACTCTCAGATGAACAAAGGGCACGGAGGCATCCAGTTTCCACTGATGTGCAGTAAGAGAGGGGCATCTTTATGCCTTTGAATACATAGCCACACTGCCATAGAAATAAAGAAGCCACCTATCACTTTGAAGAGACACCTCAGTCAGAATCACCAAAAGAGAAAACCCCTATATAAATGTAATGTTTGGTACAAGCTATAAAATTATTTGGAACTTAAGTCATTGTATTTACAATATTTATCATTTTACTTTATTGAAAGAAGCAAACAGTATATTTGTCAAACTGTATAAGTAAGGAAGGTACATCATGTAGAGATGGATACTTCAACATGTCCAAGGTAACAAAGGCATGATCAGTCTGTCACATGAAGTCTGTGTATGATAGTCAGAATTAGTCCAAACAAGTGACTACTGATTCCAAGAGCTATTTTGAGGTTATGTCTGATACATAAGAGAGCTGTGCCTGAAGTCAACAAATAAAACTGGGTGATTTGAAATGAGACCTAATAAATTTTTTAAAAAATGTGTGTGTGTGTATATATATATATATATATATATATATATATATAAAATTCAAGACTAATAAAGTTTCAAGACTCTTTATTCAGCATGGAGCCAGGGCTTTTTACTTGCTTTATCAATTGAACGAGTGATATTAATTTCTCATTCATAACCAATAATAAGGCCAGAACAGTTATTTGATACGTTAGGCATTCATTGAAAATATGAATACATTCCAACAAATCAAAATCCAATATGCTCAGAGACTTTACAAAATTATTATTATTACCTCGCAATAATACCTGTTGTTGTTATTACCTGGTAATATTACCATTCCTTCTAGATGTCAATTTCAATGTATGTACTTGAAAAAGGAGTGCTGGGCAGAAATATATATATATGTACTTTTTCAAGTACATAATTTGATATCGACATCTAGAAGGAAGTGCAGACTCACAAGAGTCAGGTTTAATATCATGGCTACCACATCCACTAGCTCCTGGATCCACAATAGCAGTGCTGGGTCTTACTCATCCTGGTCCTCAAAAATCTCCTGACCAGATTGAGTGATCCTAGTAACTTTACCCCCTCTATCAGCTCCAGTAGTATCCCCAACAACTGAAATATGAAACTTGCATTGCTGTTCTCACATCTCCCTCATGTCTGCTGTTCCTTCCCATCTTATTTCATTGCTTTATCTTTGTTTTTTACTTTGTTTAAAAAAGTCTGGTTCAGCCAACCAAGACCGCTGTGAGCCTGTGACCAGAAAGGCAGAGAAAAGTAATTCCTTAAACAACCTGATACAGATACAGGTTTGACAGCTCTTGGAACAGCTGATAAGACTGTACGCTTGCCAGTCTTCTTCTAGTAGCAATACCGAACCTTAAAGTAAGCACCAGAAGCAGAAGCTGCATTTTCTATTGTTGCTGTTCTTGTGTCTCCCCTTTTCTGTGTGTTTATCTTGCCCTGTCTGCAAGGAACCAGAATAAGACTAACATAAGGGCAACAGCTGCTCCAGCCCATTGCATGTAACATTTTAACTGGTCCACAAATTAGGTATTTGTTACCGTCTTCAATATAGTCCAAAATATCTATTAAATTTGGGGCTTCCTTGTTAAAAACTAAAGGAATGGGCAATAAAGGATACTGGTAAAATGAAAGCATAAATGAGCATATACCATTTCAAATGCTTTAATGGGTTTTCCTTTTTTTCCCTGTATCTTTCATAAAAGTTCTAAAAGAGTTTTAATAGTGATTATTTGCCAGGTGACCAAGCAGACCAAGGCCTCTCTGCTTGAAACCCCAAATTTAGTTCACAGGTGGAGTGATGTACAATGATGTGGTACTGTCAATACCTTCGTCCCTCTGCATTTATTTATTGCATTGCAATGAATACAACCAGTGGATCAAGTATTATCTCAGTGGGATTTATCACTTCTGCATCCCAAAGAGTTAAATACAAAAAAAGAGTTAAATACAAAAACAGAGAGACAGTCTTAACATCTTCCATCAGAAATTCGTTCCTAGCAACACAAACACTAAAAATACTGGCACCAAAAGATAAACCGTAAACATTTCCTTTGCAGTAGCTTAAGGCTCATCCATTTATCAAATCCCAAATAAATTAGCCCATGACACATGCTTTGGTTAGCTCCAAAAGGGCACGAATATGATTGCACCCATTTGACAGTGAACGTGCTGCTTATGAGCTGTTCATTATTTGCCATAATACAAAATCATATGCGACTTTGGTAAGTTATATGCAGTCAGTCTGGATCACCAGAGTGCAGGTGAATCACATTTTAATTTACTCATTGGTCAGCAATTGAGTTCTCTAGGAGGTATGACTTGCCTACCATTTGCTCAGAAAAAAATAGTTCTGTAAGCAGGTCGTGAGCTGATGTTGCAACTATCATTTGTCTCCATAACAAAAAAAAATCCATTCTATGTACAAATTGTGCGCACAGGAAGTCTATAAAAAGAATGCTTTTATTACTGTGTCTTTGTACTGGTCTCTCTTCTTGATTCACATTGTGCACCTTATTGATTTTAAAATGATTCTCCAAGGGCAAGCCCCATCCTATATATGTCACTCCTCATCCACTACAACAGTGCCAGCCTTCTTCATCCTAATCCCAGTCTTTATCTCCTTCTCTAACTCCCATTTTGAGCCTTTTCATTTTATAAATAAAATACATAATGGTCCCAACACAGGAAAGGAAAATTACGAGAGGCTTTCGTAACCCATTAGCTATCAATGCCCTTAAAGGAGACAGTTAAAAGATAGAGGGAATAATGAGGATTGAACCAGTTAATGAGTATTTCAGTGAAAGAATAAATAAAGAATTCTAATACACTCTGAAGACTTAGTGAAATACGGATGTTCACATGGATATAGAGTTCATTGAGGTCTATTATTTCTAACTGTTATAATATACACATTCTCAGCCACTATCACTGAAGACTGTGTGGCCTAGTAGTTATCACTATGAACTGGAAATCTGGTGACCTGACCTGGTTACTGAAGAGCTGATCAACCTTTGGAATATCACTTCAGACTACAGCTACAAAGGATCTAAGGCACTTGAAATTGGACTTTCAAAAGAAAGAAATGCTTCCAGCTCAACTTTTGAGTGTCTGACTCTTAATAGGGGGCTCATCTCCTCCTCATGACCCAAATTTACTGTAAAATTATAGCAAACAGGAAAGAATAAAAAATCCTACAGCATGTTAAAATTATTTAAAACTATCAAATATGTATAGCTAACATGAGTAATTATGTTATTACTGCTTCTCTACTGCTACATTGTAATATAGTATTGCTAATATTCCTTCCTGCTCTTTGGGAGATTTGTGTTCAGTTCCACGCTTCAGAGACTCAGTGATGTTGGCCATTCTATTCAATCCCCATGTGCCTCAGATAAGAATACTTGATTTTGTTCATCTTTCCTATTTAGCCTTCAAGTTATATGAGCAGGGTCTGGCCTATCAGTCTCAGATTAGGGTTTTGGACACTGTCATAATATAACTAAAAATACAGTCAGACTTTAATAATGTCATAAGCATGGAAGTGAACAAGACCTCTGATATTAATTTGAGCCAACAGTAACTGGAGGTTCACACCATGTGGTGCCTATTCCTGTTCCAATTGCTTCAAGGGCATCGCTAGTGTATGTTTTTGTTAGCTTATGCAATATCTACTTATGGTGTGTATCTAAAATCTAACATAAGAAATGAGGTAAAAAACATAAAAAGTATTCTATGTTAAAAATTCTATGCTTATTAACTGAAAAAAGGAGAAACTATATCACCACATTAAGCCCTTCAAGGCTGCCCCAACCCCATGGCACTCTGTCTATGCTTCACTCACTCGGACCCTTTATTAATTTAGGGGTTTCTGTCCACACTCTAAGAGTTACACTACAACTCTAAAAGTTACCCTATACTATAAGCACTCAGGCACCTCCTACAATTAAACTATGAGAGAAATCAATAGGGGCTAACCACTACCTACCTGATCTACTGCTCTGCTTTCTGCTCCCTGCCCTATTTAGCTGTGCTACCCATGCCCTCCCCAATCTGCCATGTAACACACACAAAGGCTTTCCATACCACTTGTGGCATATGAGCCACATGTTGGACACCCTTGAGATAAATCAGGTATGGCAGTAAAGCCCCATGCTTTAAGGTAACCATGAATCCCATTTTTGCTAGAACCACTGCATTTTAAATACTTACCCTGAACATCCTGTCAGTTCATTCAAATGAATGATTTGTTTTCTGTGGAGACAAGTTTTTAAAACAGGACTAACCTGGCAAAAAATGTCCCCCACCCTCCACATTTCTCCTACTCTCCAGTGCCCTCCACTCCTGCTCTCTGTTGCTATGCACACACACACCCCCCACTTAGCTAAGACTGGAGCTCAGAGATTGCTGGAGACCTAGAGGGGAAACAGCATCCCATTTTGAGACCAGGGAAACATGGTCACCCTACCTAACTTCCCAAGTGCTGAGCAACCACTTGACAAAACTCTTACAAGTATATAAAAAAAAATCTTCTTTTTTAGCTTTTGTATATATTTACCTATATTTCTTCAAGGCAAATTATTTTGACAATAATTTTCTACTAACTTAGTCTTGGAACATCCATCCATAATTGCATCAAAAAGTAGTAAACAAGTCTGTTATGGTTTATAGAAATGTCTGGAGTGAAAACAAACATTTTTTTATTAACATTAAGTATGGAAGTCAGCCACTGATGATGGAAGCTGAGATAATAGAAGTATGATACAAAGAATGATATTTCCCCAGTTTGACTGCATTTCAAAATGAAGTATTATCACAACCGTAAAACAAAGTATTTATCTTGCACAATGAC